CAAGTTCAGGATGAGGCAGCCCAGGCCCCTGTGAGGTTCAGGAGGAGGGGGCTCCTTGCAGAATGGAGACGAGGGAAGGACGTGGTGCCTGAGTGACTCTGAGGGGCAGATAGGGGGGTGGAGCACTGGAGAAGGTGGGAAAGGCCAAGGGCACAGAGGTGAAACTCGGGGTCCGAGGATGAGGCTTCAGGAAGTCTGGCTGTGTGCACACCCCAGCACTGGGGAGACAGGGGCCTGGGCCAGGCACCCCACCTGTCATATGGTGGTAATAAGAGGATTATCAGGCAGGTTGAAAGAATATATGTGCTGTGCTTAGCACAATCGTGCACTTGGTAATTACGGGCTCAATAAATGCTCGCGAGCTGTTGTTATAAGCATTGGTTGCAGTCAGGGAGGTGGGGTGGGTTTGGTGGGATTTGAAGAGGCTGTGTGGTGGGAGCAGGGGGTGTGGCTTGAGGATGGCCCTTGGGGACAGCAAGGTTGCCTCTCATTCCTCTGTCTCATGTGGCAGATGTCACTAATCCATCAGCCACTCTTTCCCGCAGGGCCCAGAGGTGGCTTCAGCGTCCTTCCCAGCACATTCTCCAGGCTGCCCTAATCAGTCGCAGCTGGCACGTAAGATGACCCACTTTGCCATTCCTGACTCGACCAACATCAGAGGTGGGGATTTGATGGCCTGAAGTCAGAAGGTCCCACTCCAGACCTGGCTTCTCTGAGCCTAGGCTCTCCCGGAGACTGTGCCCCACGTGGAAGGAAGCTGGGGCAGGGGGCGGGATGGCACTCGGGAGCGGGGAGGGCGTGTCCTTAGGAACACCATCTGGCGTGCGGGGCGGCATGTGCAGGTGCCCTTGGTGCTGTCAGAAATGCCCCGACCCAAGGCCAGGGAGGCCAGTGTGGTGGTGGCTGTCAAGGTCAAACGGCAGCACGTGGCTGCTGGGAGCGTGGGGCTGGGCTGCAGGTCCTTGCAGAGCCCAGTCTCGGGGCGGGGGATCCAGCAAGTCCTGATTAGAAAAGGGGACAGAAGAGAAGCAGCAAAGGCTGGTCTGGGGGTTACAGTGACAAGACTGTCCTGTGGAGCCACGTTCTGTATTCCCAGCCCACACCGCCTCGTTTTTAAAATTCATCTAAAAATCCTGAGGCGAGGGAACCACTCTTGGGTTTACAGATGGATGGAGTTTACCTCTGTGTTTACCATGCAGCCTTCACCCCAACCAGATAATAACTGCCCCCCAGAGGCTCCCTGGTGCCCCTCCCACCCCAAACGCCAGAAATACCCCAACATCTGTCCCTAGAGACTCGTTTTGCCTGATCTTTATATCCGTGTTAAGGAGCCACACTGCCTGTCCCGAGGCTGGCCTCTTTCCTCGACACCAGCCAAGCGGTTCACCCCGCGCGTGGCGCGCGCGCGTGTGTTCTGGTGCGCCGCTGTGTTCTGTTCTGTTGCACGGGCATGCCAGTTTACCCGCCCCATCTCCCGTTAGTGGACGTGTGAGTTATCTCCGAAGTTTACAAAGGATGCCACTCTGAACATTCTAGTGCGTGTCTCTGAGTTTTTGCCTGGCAGCGGGGCTGCTGGGGAGCAACGTTCAGCCGGTTAAGGGAGCTGTTGGTAGATGCCACCCGCCCTCCAGGTGGCAGTCCTGACCGCCCCGCCTACCAGCGGTGTGGGTGGGTCCTGGTGGCCCCGCGCCTGTGGCGGTGCTTGGGACCATCTGTCCTTTACTGTTAGCCATCGGTGGAGGGGGTGTTCTGCCTCCTGGTCTTCCCAGTGCCTCTGCGAGCAGGGTGCTCACCTGGACTGGGGGCAGTGTGATCCCATTTGCAGGACAGAAGGAGGGGGAGGGTCTGAGCAGTGAAGCCACACTTCCAGCGAACGCTGGAGCTGCTTCGGGAATTCTAGTGTCAATCTTTCCCTCATGTCTGAAACCAGAGCCCAGAGACTGAAATGTGGCTGTTGTGGATAGCCGGAAGACCCCGGGGCTGGGAGCCCCAGTGTGGGAGCTCAGCACTGGTGCAGAAAAGGAGAGCTGGGGAGGGGGCCCTGGGCACTGGGGGAGGGCGAGGGAAGACAGTGGGGAGCAGCAGGGCCAGCACCCAGCTGGTGGGGGTTCACGGGGTGCAGTCTGTGCCAGGCCCTGAGCTGGGTGCAGGGACACACTGGTGGACCCACAGGGGCAGGGGCCCTGCCCTCACGTTAATGACAGGTGGGGAAGCAGGCAATCAAGGAAATCCACAGTTAACAGGTAATCACAGGCCGGGCTCAGTGCCCTGCGCTGCGCAAGGGCCTGACCTGGCGGCGGCCTCGGGACTGACAGCGGACCACATCAGAGATCACGCTGCTCCCAGGGGCTCTCTAAAGAGGGGTCCTAGCAGAGTGGGCGTGGGGCGGGGCGTCTGGGAGGGGCGGTGGGACGTGGAAGGGGCGGGCCTCGGCTCGGACAGGCAAGTGGCAAGAAAAGGAGAGGCTGAGAGGCTGGCAGTGGACTGAACCGTATCCAGCACACTGAGGATCAGACCTAGTCTCCACAGAAACTCCAAAGTAACAGTGACTTAAATAAGGGAAAGCTCCTTCTCTTTCACTTGAAGCCTCCAGGTCAGCTTTGGGGGTTGCGCCGCCGTCAGGAGTCCGGGCTGCTTCTCCTCTCTTGTAGCGCTGCTGTTCTCGAATGTGGCGTCTTCTTCCCGATCCAAGCCAGCTGCTCAAGCCCCAGCCATCGTAAGTGCATTCTAACAAGCAGGAAAGGAGAAGGGACAGAGGGGAGCACAGCCCCCCCATGTTAGGGATGCTGCCTGTGCATGCTCTTTGGCCAGAACTGGTCTAGCTGCAAGGGCCGCTGGGAAATATGATCTTGACCCCGAGGAGCCAGGTGCCCAGTTACAACTGGGTTTCTCCTACTGAGGAGGAAGGAGAAGACAGACATTGGGGCAACACGGTCTCTGCCCCTCCCGGTAACTGGAAGCGAGTGGATGATACTGAAAGCAAGAAATGACCAGTGGGTTGCACCCCTGTCCCTCCCTGCGGGTAGCATCCTCGCTGGGGGCCTAGCAGCTCAGAGCCCATGGGGCTCACAGAGCATGCTGCAGCCTCCATTGATGCGCCGTCCTGCGGGCCTCACATTTCATCTCATTTTCACAGAAGTGGAAACGAGGTCTCAGGGAGGCAAGTGACCTGTCCAGGGGCCCATAGCTGGGAGAAAGGCCAAGAGAAGCAGACCTTGCTAAGAACTTCCACGCATCTGGTGAGAGGGTGCTTAAGACCACGAGGCCCCCATCGCTCCCTTCCCTGAGATGCCCAAGGCTGTCTCCCTACCTCTTTAAGCGGCCAACTCCCCTCCCATCTTCCTAGCGCATGGGAGGCAAGGCAGGGACCCGTGGCAGGTAGCCAAGCTCTGGATGACTGGTGTGTGGGCAGGAGTTGGGCAGGAGCACAGGCTGAGAGGAGAGGACTGGGAACTGCCCCTCTCAGTCCCAGTGCACCCCCTGACCCTGCTATCAACCCCTCATTTGGCTGGAGGGCAGCGACGTCCCCCCACGGGAACTGGGCCTCAGACCTGAGTCACTGATGCTAACCCCCTGCTTTCTTCTTTTCTGTCTTCCCATTTGCATTAAAACTTACAAAGGGGTTTGTGAAAATAAAAGCAGGTATTTCCTAGATGTGTAAGGCTGAACGTCAGGTCCTGCTCCCCCGTGCACCAGTGCCATGCTGGGGCCCTGAGCCCAGCTGGGGTGGCTGTTTCCAGACTGTTAGTATACATGTGTAAGTATGCACGCACAGGTGTGCAGAGTGGGGTGTGAACACACAGTCAGACCCGTCCTGCTCAGTGCCACCCCGTCTCCGCGGCCGGCTCCGAGCAGTGGCTGCTGCGTGGCTGGCCGCCAGCTGTCTGGTTAGGCTGCCGCTCCTGGGTGGCCAGGCCCCTCTGGCTTTTCCCTGGAAGTCTTGGCATTGGAGTACTTGTGCAGGGCTTTGGGGGTGTGGGTCCCCAGAAATTCCATTGTTCTTTCTCCCTCATCCAGAGTGTTTGCGGGACTCCAGAGCCTGGAGGAGGTGGGGTGTGGACATCAGAAGGGTGCGGTGGACCTGTCACTGCTCTTGAGACGGGGCGCCAGGGCATGCGGCCATCGGGGCTGGCACACTCACATCCTCCCACTCACAGCTGGCGGAATCCCAGCTCAGATATGCTCACCCAGTGTTGCCACCAGCATGGCCGAGGCATGGCCTGCGGGCCCCGGAGGACTCACTTGGCTTTGCTTCTCTGCGTGCTGGCCTCTCTCTCGTCACGTGTTTCCCTCGCATGGCAGGGGGATGGGGCAGGGGGATGGGACGGGACCCAGACAGGGCCAGGCCACCTGTCCCACCTGAGTCAGGACAGAAGGCAGAGCCCAGGGGCACTGGTGTGCCGTGAGAGGCTCCGCCTGCTCCCCAGCTCCTGGCTCCTGGACCGGTGGCTGGGCTGAGCGAGAAACGGCCCTTAGGTGCATCTGTGGGCCGCCCAGCTTCAGCCTGACCAGGCTGTGCCGCTCCTGAGCCGTGGACACCGGGGCAGGTGGGGCGCGGTGGGGGTCACACCCTGGCTGCAGGGGCCGCGTGGGGCTGTCTGAGCGGGTCTGGGGGCTCCCTAGGCCCGTGGCACATCCAGACCCAGAGTAGAGCCTCTTCTTGGTCTGGACCCGCTGTCGGCCGTGCCGTGACAGAATGATCATGTCATCAACTTGCCTGGCTCCCTCGAGGCGCAGTACCACAGCCGGGATTCACGTGGGCCATACTTACACTAAAAGTCATTTGCTGTTTATCTGAAAGTCTAATTAAACTGGGCATCCTGTATTTTATCTGGCGACCAGATCAAATCAGGTGTTGGTCCTGTGGGAATCCAGTACCAAGCCAGTAGGTGCAGACTCCACCCGCATTACCCGGCGCTCATGCATCCCAAGCAAGGCTGGGCTCAATCTCCAGCGCTCCTGAGAATCCCAGGGGTGGGCCCTGCTCGGCCCAGCTTGGGTCACGTGCCCACCGCAAACCCAGTCACCGTGGCGAAGGCAGCCTGATTGGCCAGGGTCACGTGGCTGAGAGCGGCGTGGCGTCTGTGAGTGGTAAGGGTCTCCCGGGCTCGGTGGCCCCGGGCGGGGCGTTCGCTGCAGAGGGGCTCCTCCTGCTGCGTCAGGGGCTTCGGGCACCAGGACGGCGGCTCGGGCAGCCTGCGAGCGCTTTGGCTTTCCGCAGGCGCTGGTGGCCGTAGGAGGGCGTCCCATGGGATGCGGCCGCCTGGTTTCCCTGCTGTCCCCACAGAATTCTTGGGTCCCTGGGCAGAGGCTGACCCGGTGCTGGCTTGTCCGTGGTGGTGGGCTTCTGTCCGCTTTCTGCAGGGTCCATCCACACCCGCTTCCAGCCTGTGTCCAACGGGCACCCCGAGAGGAGAGCCCCCGGGGAGCTTGGCCCAGGATCAGAGGGGTTGGCTGAGGGCCTGGAGGAGAAAAAATATAATTACCCTGTCGGTGCGGAGTCTCCTGACGCTCGCCTGCTCACCGCCAGCAGGAGTCTGTTTCTTATAAGTGAAAACGGATTTCCTGACAAGGGGCAAGATCTTAAACTTGTTCAAAAGCTCCCAAATAAAAAGGGCGGTTTTAACTTTCCCCTCTGAGCAAACCAACTGTGAGGCGGCCTCTAAGCCGTTCCACCGCTGCGGGAAGAGCTGGGGGGCTGAGGCTCCTGGCTGCTGGGACCCTCGGGGCGGAGGGGCTGGAGGGGGCCTCCAGGCCAGCCGGGCCACCGGCCCGCCACGCGGAAGCCCTCCTAGTCGGAGCGCCAGACGCCGCCCCCAGGCTCGGGGGAGCAGGGCTGCTGCTGGCCGTGGGGCCCGCCTGCCCGGGACTGAGGACTCCGGCCGAGACTTGTTCTCTGTGTCACCATTTTCTGAGGCGATGCCAGTGGAAGACGGTTCCTACCCAGGGAACCGCTTGTCTGGGCTGCCTCTGAAAGCTGCTTCAGCTGTAACTTTTTTCTTCAGATTAAGCCACTTACAGGAAGCAGCTGTGGATGGCCCAGAAGTGCTTCTGTCAGGGGCTGAATTTCCTAGGAGAGGAACTCCGCTCCCCTCCCCTCCCCCCCACCCCACCACACCCCGGGTCCTTGACCTGGATTTCTTGGTCTGCAGCAGCTGGGTCTAGGGAGGGACCCTGCCTGGTGCACTGCAGCACAGCTTCACTGGGGTTCTGGGTTCGCTGGACCCCGTGGCTCTGTGCCAGCCTTCTTCCCTGCTGGACCGGAGCTCTTGGGGGGCGGGGACCTTGTGTAATCCCCTCAGCGCTGCATCCTGGTGCCTGGCCCAGCACACAGTAGGTCTTCGGTACATACTTACTGAAATAACAGACGATGGCTGGGTGAGTGGATGGATGGGAACAAGTTGTGTTCCCACAGCTGCAGGGGTTGTGAAAAGATGAGTGGCGTGTCCTTTTCTGATGGGCAGGACGGCTGATTCCAGGTTGTTTGGAGGGGGCGGGAGGCACTGGCTGCTTCCCTGCCAGCCCAGGGTATTATCAGGGGCCCACTGTCCTCCATCGTGGGAGACAGGACTGGTGGAGTTTCCCCTGAGCAATGGGCGTTGGCCCAGCAAACCTAGGGAGCTGGGTCAGTCTCCTGCCTTTTCTTTCAGACTATGGATGCACTCTGCCTCGGAGGTCCCGCGAAGTCAGGCAGGAAACACCCACGTGAGTAGGTCCCACCGACTTTGAGGTTGGGACGGCTTGTGATGGAGAGTGCCCGCAGGTGCAGTCTGAGCGGAGGAAGTGGGCAAAGGACGCTGTCAGGGAACTGGGCACCTAAGGAAACAAAGGATTTTCCCAGTTCCACGGTGGCGTCGGCGCCCATGGCTGTGGGGCTGGCTGGTGCCAAGCCCTCCTCCAGGCTCTGAGGGGCTCACTCCTGGTCTGCAGAGCAGGGATGTCCTTTGGCTGCCTTTCCGAGGTGGAGACGGCTGCTTCGAAATGCTGCTGCTTCCTCCTGGGGAGGGCCTTTCCCCAGCCGTCAAGGTTTCAGTGGGCTGAATAGAAGTCGAATCGTGTCTGAATCTCAGAATTGATGTGAATGCCTGGAGACCTCTGGCCCCAGCCACTATCCCTTCAGTATGGCACCAGACACAGGGTGGTCTGGAGGCTGGTCTGTCCTCTCTGCCTGCACTGGGCCCTCGCAGGGCTCGCGAGGGTGTGTGTGGCGGGGACGTGAGTCTCTGGGGAGGCTGTGTCAAGATGGCAGAACGTCTTGGGATCCAAACAGCTCAGGGGCCCCATCCCTCCCAGACTGTCTGGTCTACGGCCCTGATCCCATGTCCTGCAGTGGCCTCTTGTCGTCCTGGCCGGGTGGCCAAGTGTGACCGAATCCGCCATTGCCAAGTAACTGACCTGCTTTCTGTCCCCACCAGAGCTGGTCTGAGCTCCTGGTGAGGGGGGTGAAGGAAGGGGCCCCAGCGCCATCCATTGCGGCCCAGCCACCCCATCCGCTCTGATACCTCCTGGGGTCTGGTCCCTGGTAGGTCTGGTGGAAACTCTCCCTGGGGCCTCGGGAGGACCCAGCCTGACAGATGAGCAGCGTGTATCAGCGCACCTGCCAGCCCGAGTTCTGGGAGCTGGGGCGTGTGGAGGGGCAGCCAGTAGAGGGAAGAAGGGAAGGAGGAGCACCAACCCCCCGACCCGGGTCGCTGCTCAGGGCCCCCCTCCCCCGTGGCCCCCTGCCCACCCGCTTTCTCTTCCTCTGATCTTCTATCCCAGAGCGCTTGCCCCAGCAGCCCCCACGTCCCTGCCATCTTCAGAGCAGAGCCGGGGGCTGCAAGGGGGCCTGGGGAGTCCTAGGCTAGTGTGAAGGGGGGGTGTGTCCCATGGCTTTGGGGACCCACCAGGTGTCCCCTGTTACTCGGGGCAGCGGGCCGCTGCATCCCCGCCATCTGGGTTTCTCCGTGAATGTTTGTTGAATGAGGGTGGGCAGTGCCCCCAGTGCGCTCAGAAGGAAGCCCCATCCATCCCCGGCTGAACCCTGGGGAGACCACGGGGACCCTGGGTGGAGTTGCAGCGGCAGCTCCAGATCATGGAGAGCCAGGACGCTGAGCTGGACATGGGGGTGGAATCTGGCTCCATCGTGTCCAGCCTGGGGCCTGCATGTGACCCTGAGCCCTGTCGCTGTCAGTCAGGAGTGTGTAGAGGTGGTGGTGTGCTGGTGATAGTCACCCCCTTCCTCCCTGGGGCCGTGGTGGCCCGGGGAAAGGGTCCTGCCTGCACGGAGGGCCAGAGGTCCCTTTTGCTGCCTCCCCTGAACCCCACCCCATTCTCATCAGTGGGCAGGAGTCAGGGATCCCAGTTCACAGAGGAGGACTCTGTGGCCTCAGGCTGTGCTCCCCACCCCGCTCTTCTCTCCGGAGGCCTGAGTCACTCCAGCCTCTTGCTGTTCCTGCCAGTGGCACTCTGGCCCTGGGGCCGGCACCGAGTTGGGGGCTCGCCTTTAATGACCCCCAGCCTGTTTGCCTGGAGGTCTTGCACGGAGCAGCCCTGCCCTCGACAGCGACAGTGTCCTGAGTCTCAGCAGGTGGCCTGGCTTTTAGAGAAGCAATGCCTTTGGAGGATGCTGGCTTGTCATGGGGAGCCCTGGGGGGCGTGGCAGGTGGCAGCAGGGGCATGGAGGATGGGGGTCAAGGCCCCAGCTTCCCACTGGGAGGCAAGGAGCCCTGAAGGTCACCCTGCTGGGCGCCTCCTGGGCCCATGTCCTCAGCCGGCACCAGGGGGGCCCAGAGGTTGTCCCCTCTACACCCAGCACCGCCTCTGGCAGCTATGCGGACCCTGGGGCCCAGGCTCCCTGCTGGCCATCCGCATTTAGTCGGCTGAGTGCTCAGATGGCTGCTGGACGTCTGGGCCACAGAGCTGAGCTCCCCTGTCCCCGGCCTGGATCTGAGCCCCACTCCCCGCCCAGCCCCCAGCCACCTTGGCCCGGCTGGGCATGAGCAATTAAAGCCCCTGTCCCCAGTCGGTTTGTGGTATTAAAAACGAATTGCGATCAGCCGGGTTGTCATTTCTACCTGATAAAACATCACTTTTATTGATCTCGCTCACCCAGCGCCATCATTTATCTTGCTTCAGCATCTCACATAATGGCTCGTTTGTCTTGATCCAAGTGCAGTCCCCATGTTTAACCCTTGGGGCTCGGCAGCCTCATGCCCACCCCCCGCCCTTGCCCAGGCCCTGTTCTAGGAGGCAGGAGACTCTGGACGAAAAGGGCCACCCTGTTTGTATTAAGGGGGGAGGGGAGGGAGGAGGAGGGGGCTGCGAGGATGGACCCTTGGGGGCTCACCTAGTCCTGCTGGGGTCCCCACACACCACGTCCCAGTAGTCACCTCCCTCCTAGCTCACCCCATCTGCCCACACTCCTGGGCCCGTTGGCACCCCTCCCGGCTTGCGGCCCTCAGTGCCCCCTCACCACAGGCCCTTGAGTCTTTCTCTGGTGCCAGCTCCCCACCCCAGGTGCTGCTGGGCGCCTCTAGTTCCATCCCAGGGTTCACACAGGGAGTGATCTCAGTCTGACTTTGGACTCTCTGCCTAGAGCCTTCGGCGTGTTCCGTGGTCCAGTTCCAGCCTCTGGCCCTTGGTACCTCCTGGCCGCCAGCAGTGTTCCTCGCCTTCCCCCACCATGCCCTGGTCCAGGTCTTGCCTGGACTCTGCCTCCGCAAGTAACTGAAGGTACGTAAGTCGGGTCTTCCAAGCCCACAGGGGTCTCTGCCCCACCGTGCCCTGGTCCTTCCTCCTCTCCTGCCCCCAGAGGGTCTCTGAGCCAAAAACCCCAGTCAGCAGGCACTCCCTTGTTCAGACCCCCTCTGCCGCTCGTCCTGTCCCCAAGGCTGCCTCCAGGCCCACGATCGCCCTCTCCCGTTGTAGCCCTTGGAACTGGGCTTCCTTCCTAGTTGTCGGAAACCCTGCCTCACCTGCACAAAGCGGGGGCTGCTGACTCACGGATTCAGCAAATCTGAGGGCCAGTTTGCCTTCAGTCACAGCTGAACCCAGGCGCTCAGACTGTCCTGACACCTTACAGCCCCAGGCCTCCTGCTCAGGAGCCCTTTTCTAACCACCTTGTTTGCTGGGCTCCGAAGGGGCCAAGGGAAGGGCTTGCCTGGCCTTGATCTCTGTGCTCAGTGCTCTGGCGGGTCACATGGCCGTGGACCTCCTGTGTCCCAGGGTGGGGGGTCTCTCCCCTCCGCTGTCTCTGATCAAGTCTTCCAGCGGAGGAAGTGAGAAAGGGGAACGGGCATGGTCAGGGCTGGGGGGTAGCCCCAGAGTGCATGTGTGGTCTGGCAGCCTGCGTGTGCACGTGTGCAAATGGCCTGCAGCTCCTGACACCTGTGTGTGGGGGGTCACAGCGCTACTCCCGCACTTAACCTGCCCTGACCCGGGGTCCCCTCATTGGGGTCCCCAGTCCCAGCTGAGTGCTCCCTCCCCAGGGGGCCCTAGAGGTGGAGGGAAAACAGCTCCCCCAAGTGGTAGGGTTCCTGGAAAGCCCTCGGGGCTGCAGCCTCACTGCGCGGGGCTCCTTCTGGCTGGGGGTGTGCACTGAGATGTACCCCCCAGCAGCCCTCAGGCCCTAAGGGCCAGCCCTCCGTTTCACAATCACCCCTGCACAGCCGTCAGTCAAGGAAATGTCCAATGAGTAAATCCACGCACTCAAGGAGGGCCCTCCCGGGCACTTTGGGGACCACCCTTCCTCTGTGCCTGTGCCCTGTGGGGGCTGACCCTCCCCGGCTTCCCTCCAGGGGCGCCCGGCTTAGCCACATGGACTGCTGACCTACTTCGGGCAGATCTACAAAGAAAGGGCCCCTTGTCCTGGGATCTCAGAGGCAAAGGCCACCCCAAAGCTGTGCGGGCTGCTCATGCCTCCCCGAGACCTGAGGGACTGCACTCAGCTGCCCAGGACACGGCTGCTGAGACCCCCGGCCTCCGGGGTCTCCGGGGAGTGGCCGTGGTGCGCGCACAGATGCTGGGGTGGAGGGAGGGTTCCGGACCACCGAAAACCTGTACAATAGGTCGTATATTTATTCTTAAGCAAGTTATCGATAAAAAATTTAATACTAAAATGCCTTTACATAGAGTTTGCTGTTCATAAAACCTTTGTGTTTTTTGTTTTTAGTGTTTACATTGAAAAAAAAATTCAACCATCCTCTTACTTTACACATTTACAAGTCGTGCTTTTGCCAGGTTTAACCACGGTTGGGGGGGCGCCGCGTCGTCTGCACGCACACGGACAGGGTGGGACGGGAAGAGAAAAGCGAAGGACAGACAAATCCACAGAAGGGGGAGAAGAACCAGTGGTGGGGGGCGGGCCCGGGAGGCCAAGAAAAGGCTGCTGTTTGCTTGCTGCTGCCTCACCGCTTGGGGCTGAAAGTAGCCTCTGGTTCTAGTGTCCGAGGCTGGCGGGCCCAGCGCACGCCCTGGCCCACAGCATCTTTCTGTTTCCCCAGCTGCCAGCAGGACCTCGGCTGCCGTCTCCAGGACGACCACCAGGAATGAAATATTGCACTCGTGCCGAGACAAAGGGGAGAATCTGGGTGGGAGAGGTAAGCTGGGGTGCAGGGGACCCCCTCCCTGCTCTGGCCCTTCCTGTGGCCACCAGGAGCTGCAGAGGGACCCTTCAGGCGGGGCCGGGGTGGTTTCCTGGTTGGAAAGAAAAGGGGGCCCAGGTACCCACCCACATCCCTTGTTTCCCGGGTCCCTGGGCTGTGTCTGTGGGTCACACAAGAGCTCGTCCTAAGGAGAAGTGGCTAACTTGGGGGGCTTTTGGTGGGGCCGCAGGAGTCTCAGTGCGGTGGGACATGGGAGCGTGTGGCCCTCGGTGCGTTTTGGGGACAAGGGCTGCTGGGCCATGGGTCTGGTTCGCCCCACCTGTCCCTCCTGACCTCAGGAGGAGCGAAGGGCTGATGAGATCAGCAGGGCTGCTGGGTTGGTCTAGGGTACCCACCTGACACCTTGGCAGCTGGGGCGCTGGGCAAAGGGGTGAACAGCACCCCCACCCGAGGGGTGCTCCCTGCAGTGAGGCTGGTGGGGAGCAGGAGGAACCCTGCTAGGGGCCCCAGGCATTAGCCTGCCAGGCCATCGGCCCTGCCAAGTGGCTGCAGAAAAGGCCCAAAAACCTCCACGTGAGCTGGAGGGGCAAGTTCCTTCCCTGCTCTGAGCAGAGGCCAGACAAGCTGGCCGTTGAAACAGGAATCAGAAATTCCTGGAATATTCAGGATATAAAATAATAACATCACATTTTCACATCGACAGTTTAAAATACTTGCTCATTTGTGTTTTGTTTTTAAACGGAGGTAAGGTACATGGGGCCGCTGTCCCACTCTCAGGCTGGGGAGCCTGCTTCTGGACCCCTCCTGCCCCCGAGGGGCCCTCCTCCCCAAACCCAGCCCCCCATCCTTTCTTCCCCAGGAGATGGATTAAAGGGAAGGAAACGAGCGTGACTTCCATCTGACACAGTCCCCCCAAGAGACCAGCGGGTGAACCGGGGTCCTGTCCCACCTGACCCCTGTGCCCGCCCGCCCCTGCTCCCAGCCGCTTCTGTGTCCAGATGCCCCAGTGGGAACTCAGCTAGGCTGAGGAAAACAGTGCATTTTCAAAGAAAACCCCCCAGAACAAAGTTCCTGCACACACACAGACACACACGTACACACACACGCACACACACACCCCCTTGCCACGCGTGTGGGGAAAAAAAAAATCCGTTTCCACTTTTTTCCCATAAAACTTCCCCCAGAAATACACTATTTACACAGAGCAATAAATAAGACACACACCTGATCTCTGCCCTCCCTGCCGGGGGGCAGTCGGAGGTACTAGGGGAGATATGGCTTGGATTCTAATCTCTCGTGAACTGCCAACGTGGGAAAACAGAGGGCTGGCGGGCCCCGGGGGGCACAGCTCGCCCTCCGCGGTGGCCGGATGGGACTGGGTTCCGGCCAGGAGCTCTCGCTTTCCAGGGGAAATAATAAAAAAGCCCGGGTCCTGCCTTGGTGGGTTTGCATATTTGCTTAGACCTGCCCTCCGAGGTGCGGCCGCCTCCTGCCGGGCTGCAT